TATAATTTAAAAATTAAATTAAATTATCATCATCATAATTTTATGTTGTGAATATACTAAAAAGTTTTTAATTTTGTGAAAATTACTTAAAATATTTTTAAGCAAATTAATGTTAATAAAATTTATATTAAAAAGACTAGAAATGTTTGAAAAAGTTTTTTTACAATCTGCATTCTTTCTGTAAATATCAATATTAAAATATTTTAGTAACAAGATTATAGTTTCAATGTATTTAGAAAAGTTAATATTAATATTTAACAATAAAAAGTATATTTCTGATCTATTACAAATAATAATCTGAAATAATGTTAATTAATAGAAATAATTGATTGACATGAAATAATTTACATAAATTAAGTAAATGCATGACAATTTAAACATATATAGAACTTTTCTAAATAAACGAATATCAGTCAAAAGCTAGTTCAATTTGCAAATAAATCAATTTGTAATCAGCTGTTCAAAATAAAACATGATTCAATAGCAGCAGCTTGATAAGTTTTAAAACTGATTTTTTAAATACAGTAGACCCCTATAACACTGTTGATAATTCCATGTTATATGAATTTCATGTTGTATGAGTCACTTAGATTTTAGAAATACATGAGCTGTTCACAACCCGACACACGTATTTGTAAAATCTAAGTGACTCATACAACATGGAATTCATATAACATGGAATTATCAACAGTGTTATGGGGGTCTACTGTATCATTTTATCCAAAATCAACAGAGATAAAGTTTAACATTAAATATAATAAAGAAAAATTATAAGAAAAATCAACAAGTTCTTGCAGTTCTTAAAACATTTATTAGCTAATGGTGCTAGGTTTTGTTGATTATGAAAACCATAAAATTTTAAAATTTCTGAGTTTATAAAAAACACTAATATATGTAATAACTTTTTTTATTTGATTTGTAATTATTCTTCAGTTAATCATAATAAATTTATACTTTTCAAAATTATCAAAGTCCTTAATTTTTACTTTTTTCATAAACTAATTTTGAAACATTAAAATTAAGTAAATGTGTGATTTATATTTACACTTGTTTAAATATAAATATTCTTTTTAAAAGTCATCAATAATTTTTATTGGCTATTCTAAACAATCTGTTATATCAAATGATATTAAAAACATTCTTATATATACAATGAGTATCCAGAAAATAAGTTTTCTTTATGCCTGTATTGAAGGGCAAAGGCATAGCATAGCCACTTCATATGCACCAACTGTAAGGAGTTATCATGAATCTTGTGTCCCACTGTAGAAAGTCTTCCTTGGCCTTAGGAGCATTTCAAAATGAGTTCTAAGATATAAAATTCCTGCCAAACATGAGATAAAGATTGTTATTTAAATTCTCAACACAAAGCATGTTCCACTTATCACAATTCAAAAGAATTATGGATGTTTAGTGAAAGAGCAATGAGTGTTCAAAATATGAAGAAATGATGCAGTTATTCATTGAAGGCAGAGCAAATATGCATGAAGATTGTAGTGGATGCCCTTTGTTGATCACAGACAATATTGTTGCACTAGTGAATGAAGAAATTCAGAAAAACTAATACTTTGAACAAAAAGTTATTGCAAAGATTAATGCTGCACCACATTATCTCCAATAAATTTTAAGCAAATTCATGTTGGTACCAAACTTCTTAGGTGATATCACAATAAAGACAATATATTTTTTGAAACACTCAGTGGAGCTATGTTGTAGATTGCACACATTATATCTAAGAGCAAATAATCTTTAGAGTGGTAGCATACAGCCATGGAAAAAATTTACAGTTTCAGTTTAAAACTTGATAGCTATTGTCTTGAGACAGAAAATATGTATTTTTGATTGAATTTCTGCCAAATTGTGCTACAATTAATGCTGTGTGTTTCAAAAATTAGTATGTATAATTCAGAACCACAGACAAGGTAGCAAACCTTGTCTGTGGAAATTTATAACCTTGTCACAAAGGAAATTTATCTTATGACAATGTATGTGGGCATACCACTGTTCGCCCACATACATTACTAAATACATTCAAATGGGACATACTATTTTTTGAATATCAACTCTATAGCCTAGACCTTGCTTACTCAGATTTCCCATCTCTTTCTTTGCATGAAAAGATTTTTGTTTGGTCATCAAATAATTAGTGATGGTAAGATGAAAAGTTGTCCAATAGTGGATTTGAAATAAGTTCAAATTATAGCTTTATTGAATTGTTTTTCTTATCCACATCATCTGATGACAATGTTAACATCAAGAAAATCTAGTCATTTTTTTATTTTCTTTTTCAGCTGAAATTATACCATAATATTAATTGGAAACCTTCCTAGAACAATACAAGTCTAGTGTTTGCAATTTTGGTTTACATACTCTACTTTATCCTGGACTTGCATAGATAAAGTTTTACTAAATGAAAAAGTAAAAATAAATGCACAACTCCTTTAAAAAGCCTGTAGGAGAAAATCCTGCTGTACAAATTTTCAGACAAAAAATGCACAAGTTATGAAAAACCAATCCTAGTATGCAGCCAAGTCCATGTGACTATAATGACAATTCATGTTGGCTGCCTCCACTCAGGAAGTCATGGAAACCAACACTGGTGTTCTGTCAGGTAAAAAGCCTCAAAAATTAGAACATTTGTGGAAAAGGAATGTTAAAAAATGTGAAAAGCAAGGAAGTTGGAGATTACACATTTGTAATTTTAGATATGCTCAACTAGTACTTTCAACAGTTTACAACTGTCATCTTCAGGCGAAATCGAATACCTTTGTTTTTGAATTGACAGCTTGTAATTTTAGAAAAATAGATACAGATATCTCTTGCTTAATGTGGGATTTCATTAACACACAAAATTAATTGCAGCAATTCCTTTATATACACAGCCAAACTGTTAATTAATGCAGCTTTGACATCTGTCTTTACTTAACAGATATGTTTTTCTCAGCAAATAAGGTGTTGATGAATTTTCTATTTTTGTGCTGAGGGTGATTTCCAATATAGATATGTATTTTAATTACAGTAGTTGTGAAATTTAACATATTACTGTTAATGTGATACTGTGTCTTTATGTGTTCTTTGAAAATAAACTTTACTGTACATATATTTTTAATTCTTTGACCACACATGCAAATACTTAATTCTAAATACAATAAATGTTTAAGTTGTCATGGTGATACACGGAAATAATAGTATGTCTTTGCATTATCATGTATAATTATCATGTTTTTATTGTTTAAATTGTTATAAACTTAAAAATACTTCTGGATATCCCTCATACAAAAATAGAAAATGTTTTTCAGAGAGTTTTATTTAAAAGCATCATTTTGTATTTGCTTTTTAAGAAACTGTAAACATTGGTACTTCATACTTCAAATAACTAACTTTGAACATTTCAGAGTTCAAATGCTATATTTGAGAGAAATTTGACCCAGAGTTCAAACAATGCTTCTATATTTGAATTGTGTGCACAATGAAAAAAATGTGTTCACTGCATAAACACTATCAGTTGTGCATCAAAGTCATCTCTCACCCTTGTGAGTTTGGTTATATGCAGTGGTGATATTCGAAATATTTAACAAAGGGTTCGCTAACAGAAACTTTTCCCTTAACAATTTTTTTTCGCTCAAATGGTGCATTAGCAACATTAGCGCCAAAACTGACTTTAAGATACCCATATAAATAAAAAAGATGCGTTCGCAAAATTAAGTCAGTTAAAATTTAACATTTTTTATGCCAGAACTATATTCTTTTTTTCTTGATAAATAATAATAACGAGTGTTCAAAATGGTTTATTTTGTACATATTTTATTATGACACATGTTCCGCAGCCATCTTGCATTTTCTCGCGCGCGTGGGATTGTGGGATCTCTCTTATGCTGGGGTTGTATTCTGGTCACCGGCTTGTCTCTCATAAGCCGGTCGCTGATTGGCTAATCCAAATTAGAGACCGTCTTGTGAGAGACAAGAGACCAGAGACGGTGACCAGAATATGACCCCTGGATCTAGTTTCAACAACTCTCGAGTCGCCCGCGATTGAACCTCGTTCCAATCGAGATTGAAACGGTCGAGCACCAAGGCGAATGGAGTATAAGGCTCTAGTTTAGTAGTGTTACAGAGTATAATACGTATATTTTAATATAATATTTTTTAAAAGAAACAAAACCACTGAGAAATGTTACGTGTGTTTAACAAGGTTCGGAAAACTTTGAAAATGTTAACAACGGGTTCGGCCGAACCTGTGCGAACCCGCTGAATATCACCACTGGTTATATGTATACCCCTACATATTAACCATGGCATCAAAGAAGACTGTAGAAACAATGAAGCCTAAGCAGAAGATTGTAGTATTGACAATCGAAATGAAAAAGGGACTTATGAAACATGAAAGCGGTACATGCATGGCAGATCTGACAGCCATGTTTAAGATGCTAAATAAATGGTGTCCATCATTCTTAGAAAAAGGAAGCAATAAAAGCAGCAAATGCAACTAAACATGTGACAATAATGACCTCCAGGAGATCACATGTTACTCAGGAGATAAAAAACTCCTCCTAGTGAGGATAAATGAGAAGCAGTTGGCTAGTAATGTCATGTCATCTGAGGATTATTTGTGAGAAAGAATCAAGCTGCATAGTGACCTTAAGAAAAGTGAATCACCACTCCTAACTAAAATGCAGTAAATGCAATGTATTTTATTTGTTTTTATGTTTTAATCTATTATTTAGGACATTTGTTTGGGAATAGATTAATTCTTTTCCCACTATTTCTAATGGGAAAAATTGATTCAGACGTCAAACAACTCTGAGTTTGGACCTCCTGGAACAAATTAAATTTGAAGTACAAGGTACTACTGTATTTTTTTAATTTGATCTACAATTGCATTCTTGACATTTTAAAATATTATATAATCTAATAACTAATTTAAATTTTATTTATTTAAAATTTCTTTCATTCAAGCCAATATCTCCAAAACTTAATAATTCCTATTAGGAATCTGTTAAATCAATTTTTCAATTAAAATTGATGTAAAAATCTGTTGAAATTCTCTTACATAAAACTACTATTTTCATGACTTATGTAAATATTGGACAATTAATCTCACAATATTAAAATAAAAATTACAATTAAGATAATTTTAACTGTACATTTCATTTTAATAATAAAATTATTTTATATCTTAAATTTAATTCAAGTATCTTAATAAACCATTTTCAAATATAAATAAATAAATAGCACAAAAATTACTACTTTTTGCATTGTTTATATTATATTCTGTTATTATTTGGAACAGATCAGAATTACATTTTTTTCTACTTGTTGTAATATTAAAAGTTTTTAAATTTAAATTAACATTTCTTACAAACAATTTAACAGTGATTATGCTGTAATTAGCATTAAAAAGACTCAAATTCATAAAAATAACTATTTTTCATTCACATTCCATTTTTCAATCAAATCATGTAACTATGCATGCCATAAATACAATTGTTATTCAGTTAGTAAGATCTCAATTTCATGTGTCACATTTGAAATAAGAGATCAAATTACACCTTTATTTAATAATTTTCTTCTCTTATCCACATCTTCTGATGGCAATGTTAACTGCAAGAGAATCTGGCCATTTTTCTTTTCCTTTTCAGCTGAAGCTATAATATTATTTCAACAAATTTAATGATTTTATAAAAATACAGTAGGTGTTCCTTCAAAATAAAACTTTACATATATTTTTAAGATTGCTAACAGATAAGAATTATGTAGTAACTTATTCTTTTGAATCATTCAGACAGTTGATTTAAATATTTTGTTAAAATAAATCTAAAACACTTTTATTTTAATAAATTAATTAATTTAAGTCTTAATTTTATTAAATAAATTTTATCATATCTAATAAATGTTGTGAAATTTATACTTTCAAAAAGATCATTATTTGCTTTTCCTTAATGAAATTCAATCAAAAAATGCTTTACTAAGGCTGATTACATATGAACAACTTTTTGAACACTTGAATGAGCATACCTATCAAGACATCAGCAATCTCATAAAATTTACTAATGCTCAGTTTTTCCTCTTAGTGATAAACTGTTGCTATAGTAAATATGATTTCATGTTTCAATTGAATTATTTAATTTTATTGTTAAAATTAATACACTAAAAAAAATTGACAACTGACTGAAGAAATATCTTAAATATTATAAAAAAATAAAATCTATATATAAAATAAACAAAACCTTTCATCTTTGCTGTTTTAAAGATGAAAGATTTTGTTTACATACACTGGCATATAAAAGAATGACATTTCATAACACTGATGAAAATATAGAAGCTAAATAAAGAAAAATATACAGAGTGTTCCCAAAAAATGTATACACACTTTAACAGCTGATAGCTCAATTGATGTATTTTTATTTCCATGTTAAACCCATTAGAATTAATAATCAGGGGCAGCACAAAGCAGGTTCAACATGTTCGCCGGAACCTAGCCTCATGTTTTGAAAGGCCTGCAGTCTACAAAAACTCATCAGACATTTTGCAGGACCCCCTGTATAGTAGATTGAATATTCAGGTGTGTGTGGAAAATGCAATCACATAATTCACTAATCAATGACAACTGCTGCACACTGACATAAGTGCAAGATTTTCTCTCCTGTCTTTGCATTAAAATATTTCATGTTGTGATGAAGAATACTTCTGTATACATTACTTTTTAAAAATAATAAATACTGCATTAGTATCATTTAATTAGATTAGATTTGAATTATATGCAAAATTACCAGAATATTTTTGGTTTTTTTATATATGGATGAGATTGCAAATTTGGATGATGAATATTTATTAAAATGTTGTCAAGATCTTCACTTACATTTGGAAGAAGATTTCGATGGAACTGAAAAGTTTGAAGAGATTAAGATGTTCCAATCAATAATGCAAGCCAATTATTTGGCTCTAGATGCAATGAAATATATTATAAAAAACAATCTTTTGAAAACATACCCAAATTTATTAATTGCATTACAAATAATGTTAACTATGCCAGTAACCGTGGCTTCAGTTGAATGTAGTTTCTCATGGTTGAAACTAATAAAAATATTATCTTTGATCATCAATAAGACAAGACCAATTTACATCTCTGGCTATTCTTTCAATAGAAAGCGAAGTAGCCAACTCAATTAATTTTGATGACGTAATCAAAGATTTTGCGGCAAAAAAATGAGAAAAATTATGTAATATTCATCTTATAAAAAATAAATGTAACATCCTTTGTACTTATAATAAATAATTCCTTATTGTGAAATTTTAGTATAGGATTTGAATATGTATTCTGGACCCAAAAAGTTTTTGAACCAGGTCACGCAATGGGTCTTGCCGGCCCTATTAATAATGGAAGTCAGACTAAGCTTTGAACAAAGGAAACTCATTCTAAAATGCTACTGGAAGTATGAAAATGCAGTTGAAGTGCAAACACAGTTTAGGAGGCTATATTCAAATTAAATGCCACAATCGAACCTACTGAGGAGCTGATAATCCGCATGTTATGATGGAACAACATGTTAATTTTCCAGGAGTTACAGTATGGTGCGGCTTATCATCAAGAGGATTAATTAGACCAATCTTTTTTGATGCTACTGTGACTGGTCCTGTTTACTTGAACTTGCTGTGACAGTGTCATGCCAAGCATTAGAAGAGACTTTGAAGAGGAGTTTTATTTTCATCAAAATGGGACACTCCCACACTATCATCACAATGTTAGATCCTACCTTGATGAAATCTTGCCAAACAAGTGGCTTGGATGAAGGGGTTTCATAGAATACCCACTGCATTCACCAGACCTCATACCACTAGCCTTTTTTTATGAGGATACTTAAAAGACAGTCTACATTATGAAACCTGCAACAGTTGCTGAATTGAGAGCAGCCATTGAAACAAGAATGTACACAATACCAAATGAAATGTTTTCTAATTTTTGCAATTCCATTGCTTCACATTGTCAGCAGTGCCTGGACCAGAATGGACGTCAGTTTGAAAACAAGTGTTAACAAAACAATTAAATAATGTCTGTAGATTCTATTACTGAAAATGAAATATATTTTAATAAACATTGATTTTATAATTGTGTAAAGTGTGTATACATTTTTTTGGGACATCCTGTATTCATATGTCAGTTCTCTTACATTTAGTACACAGGCTTATAAGAAGAGCTATAGTTTCTGTTAATAAATAAGGATTCACATTACATAACATCTGCTGAGGATGATTAATGTTAAAATCTATTCTGTATGTGTCTAATCTATATGTATCAATCTATTACTTCATATCACTTCTCTCATTTATCTATCTTTGGCAATCATTTCCTTGTTGCAAGTAAAATTTTATAGTTCAATTTATTGAACTATAAAATTTTACAATACAATAAAACAGACAAAACAAGTCCTTATAATCCATAATAAATATTTAAATCAAATAAACATTCTCAGTTGTTCTAAAAAAATAGCAATCATTAGATTTTAGAACAAAACTATATAACAGAATATTATATTTAAACAACTTTTCTATTTAAACTATTTATTCTGTTATATAATCTAATGATGGCCATATAAAATAGCTAGAAACACTTGTTGTGCTGCAATTTGAAAAAATTGTAGACCAATAAATTCCCACCTTCATTCATCCATCTGTCTTTCCTTAATCTCAAGAATGGAGTTAGATAGATGAAAGATGAGGCCAGATATGGAAACCTTAGAGCAGGAGGCCATGATTAACTATATATGAACTTCCAATGCAAACTGGAAGTCATGTTATTTCAATTCAAATTCCCCTGAAAGGTGTTAGATAATGACCAGCACAACTCTATTGTTAAAGGAAAAATAATGATGTAAAGGGACAAACCACTACTAATTTGAGGGGGAGAGCATATATTTTAAATTGAAAAAATTTAAAATATAATTAAAAATTGCAGTCTGGCATTGTGACAATTTCACAATAAATAATTGCTTGTTTTCTTTAAATATATACACTGAATTATAAAGCTTAGCTTTGTTCATGTCAATACTCTTTCATTTTATAATTATAATCTAAGAGAAATTCTTTCATAAATTGTGTAATTTCATAAAACTTTGATTTGTTTCTTTAAAACTATCTTTATGAATCATAATTAAGCAATGCCGTTCAAATCTACTAATCAGTTCTTTTTTTTAATATTTGCATTCCATTTGTTATCACTCAAAACAGTTTGTTTGTTTTTTTGTTTTATTAAGTTACAGTAATGCAATCTGGGCGATCTGCCTAGGGCAGGGGTCGGCAACCTGCGGCTCGCGAGCCACATGCGGCTCTTTGGGTGTGAAGCTGCGGCTCTTTAGTTCCATATGTAAATATTATTTATTTTATATTAAAAAAAAAACATTTAAAAATCGTTCTGAATCGATTAACGAGGATTAGGCACCGATTCTATCTCTCAGCCACTTGTACTCGCTTTTCACCGCACCCCTCCCCCGTGACACACGTCGTCAGTCCGTCGGAAGCTCTCGAATGACGCCGTCTCGGATGTTTCTATTATCTAATTTGTTGTGAAAAACACTACTTATATATGAATAAATAGATATTTTTTCTTATGAATAAATAGATTAGTTTTTTTATCAAAAAACTTTATTTATGTGAGTACTATTTATTGTTGGCAAGAAAAAATTTTGTGGCTCTTTAAANTATAGGATTATCTTCAATAAAATGTAATTCTATTCAATTTTATATGATATGTCGATAAACTTTAAAATTCCAGTAATTTTGTGTGGGATAGAAGTCAATGCTGATGTTTGCAGACAAAGAGCACAAAAATGTACAGAACGATCTTGCTCATTTTTCTCGATAATACCACATAAAATGACGTGTCCTGCTAGTAATACTTGTTCTCCTTCTATAAAATTTCTCGATGAACTGCTACAAGTAGCATATTTCATTATATCAGATAGTACTATATAATTCATTTTACATTGACGACTAACAAACGACCCAGATAGAGTAGCCATTTTGTAAAAATACAGCGCCCTCTATAGTTCATGAAAAACGCGAATAGTGCACTTGTTACAGATATCATTCTGGTGTTCAGTAAGACAGATTTGTAATTTTTTTGTCATAGCCCCAATGTGAGAGGAAGAAGAAGAAAAAATTTGCATTGCTATCCAGTTGTTATAGAACCCAAGACTACACGAGTGTCACTCTCAAGAAGAATTTAAAAATGACTGCAAAATTCATCACTGTCTAACTGCAAGGAACAACTCTGAAGCTAGACACGTCATCCTAGGAGTACCACCTCAAATAAAAAATCTGTTAATGCAGGAAAGACTCATCTTTATCAGTTGGTGTTTTGTCACCCTAGACGACTACATCACCATAACAAGGTGCTTTAACTGTTCAGGATATGGGCATACATCACATAAATGTGGGGAAAACTAATAATGCCATATACATATTATCTAATTTGTTGTGAAAAACACTACTTATATATGAATAAATAGATATTTTTCTTATGAATAAATAGATTAGTTTTTTTTATCAAAAAACTTTATTTATGCGAGTACTATTTTATTGTTGGCAAGAAAAAAATTTGTTGCTATTTAAAAACTTTGAAATTTTGTAAATTGTAATTTTTGGCTCT